TTTAGGCTCCCCTGCTATGTCAGGCGTAGGACCCTTTGCTTTGTTTAGCCTTGGCTCCACCCTAGCTCCTCTGCCCCCAGCCGCCACTGCCGCGCTCTCCTTCAATCTCGACTCTGGCGCGTCTCGGTGTTTCTTTCGGGACCACACTACTCTTACGCCGCTTGCTGTCCCTGCCGCAGTTGCCCTTGCAGACCCTTCCTCAGGTCCGGTAGTCGCCCGTGGTTCCACCACCCTCCCCTGTCTAGCAGTTCCTTCGGGCTCACTTACAGGCCTGCACATCCCCTCGTTCTCTCGGAATCTAGTTGGTGTCGGCTCCCTTCAGGACCTTGGTGTCACTACTACGTTCCCTGGTCACGAGAGGTACGCTGTCTGTACCGAGGCCGCCACTGGTGCCCCCCTCACCACGTTCCCCCGGGACCCAGTGTCTAGCCTGTTCACGCTGGACACCACGTCCCCCCCGGTTGGGACGCCCCCCCATGTGGCAGCGTCTACCCAGGTTGCTGTGGCTTGCTCGTGTCGATAGCTTACTCACCAGTCGCTTCTGTGGCACCACCGCCTAGGTCACCCCGCCCTCACACGTCTCCGTCACATGTCTCAGCACGGTCTTGTCTTAGGTCTCCCTGCATCGTTCCCCTGCGCTCCCCTCCTTGGCAGCGCCTCTGTGCACCCCCTGCGTCGAGGGCCAGCTCCGCCGTGCCCCTCACTCCTCCTCGGTCCCCCCCACCACCGCACCGTTGCAGACCCTGCACACGGACATCTGGGGCCCCGCCCCCGTCCATGGGCCGCATCGTGAGCGTTACTTCCTAGTACATGTCGACCACTACACTCGTTACACCACCGTGTTTCCCCTGGAGCGGAAGGCCGACGTGCCCGACGTTCTTATCCCTTGGGTTGTCTCTACGCGTGTGCACCGAGGTCTCCCTGAGATGCGTCTTCACTTCGACCGTGGTGGCGAGTTTGCCTCTGGCTGCCTTGGTCGCTTCAGTCGTGCGGAGGGCATCACCCAGACGTACACCCTGCCGGACTCCCCGCAGCAGAATGGGGTCACTGAGTGTCGCATCGGCTTGGTCATGGAGGTGGCTGGTACCTCCATGATCCATGCCGGTGCACCCCATTTTCTGTGGCCGTTCGCCGTTCGCTACGCCGCCCACCAGCTTAACATGTGGCCGCACCCTCAACAGCCGCAGGTTTGACCGACCCTCCTCTGTACCGGGTCTTCTGGAGACGCGTGTCTGTTCCACGTCTAAGGCTGCCTTGCTCACGTTCGTGCCTCTGGCACGGACAAGCTTACTTCCCGCACCGTCCCCTGTGTCTTCCTAGGTTTCCCCCTTGACTCGTCTGATTGGTTATTCTACCACCCGCTGTCTCACCGTTTCTTTCACTCTCGAAATGTCACCTTTGACGAGTCCGTCTCCTTCTACCACCGCTTTCCCCACCGTGGTCCCCCGGTCACTCCCCCCCAGTTCTTCGTTCCCCCCCCCTTCCCCGGTCGCCCTTGCTCCTTCCCCTCCCTGCCCTACCTTGCCTCGTCTGGTGTGTCTCACGTCACCCCCCTCCCGTCGGTTGTCCCTGCCGAGGAGTTTGCTGACTCTCGCGGCTCGGCAAAGTCCCTTCCACCGCCTGTCCCCGCCCCGGTCTTTCCTCCCCAATCGCTGCCGTCGCCGTCACAGCCGCAGCCGCCGTCGTCACCGCCGCTGGGGTTTGTGCGTTCCGGGGGTGCTGGGGAGCGTGCCGGAGTGGGTATTGGAGCGGGTTTCCATTCTGGGGATGCTGGCGTGGGGCTTCTCGGAGGGAGCCGTGGTGCCGCTGGAGGTTCTGTTGTTGGCGTCGCGCAGCAGCCGCCGCAGTCGCCACCGGTGTCCGCTCTTCGCCTTCTCGGCCTTCCTTCCTTTGCCGGTCTACGGCCATGTGTTTCCTCCAGCGGACTCTTCTCCGACTCGTTTCCCTCCTCCTTCTCCTGTGTCTCCTCCCTTCTCTCCTGACCCGACTCCTCCGTCTCACGTCTGGGCTTGTCGTCCGTCTCGTGCTCGTCCTACCTCCCCTGTTCTGCGTTCTCACCGTATGTTGCTTCGCTCCCACACATCTCGTGCTCCTCCGCTCCTCCCGTCTCCTCCTCCGTCGTCGCTCGCTGTGGCCCCGCCTCCGTTTTCTGACTTCCTCCATGTCGTGCGTCCCTTTGTACCTTGTGTCCTTGCCTCTCTTCTTACCGATCCGTCCGTTCCTGTCTCGAGTCTGTCGGCTCTTGTTGCTATTGTCACTGACTTCGCTTCTACCTGCCCCCTTCACTACGCCATCGCTCTGGTCTCTAACCCTGCCTACCCTTCGTCCGTTGGGGGTGTGGCTGCCCTTGGCAGTGACGTCCTAGAGGACAGACAGTACGAGCTTGCTTTCCTGTCAGAGGCCGCTCCCCATCTCTGTTCCATGCTGCTAGTCCCTAGAGGTGACCCAGACACCCTTGACATCCCGACCCCTCGCACCTATGCTGAGGCCACCTCGGGACCCTAGGCGTCTTAGTGGATAGCTGCCATGGAGTAGGAGATGGCATCTTGGAGATCCATCGGCACCTTCGTCAACGCAGTTCCCCCACCTTGGGTGAACATAGTCGATGGTCCATGACTCTTCAAGGTGAAGCGCCCTCCTAGAGAGCCACCTGTCTTCAAGGCGCGCTACGTTGCTCGTGGCTTCAGTCAGCATGAGGGGTTTGATTTGTTTCAGACCTTCGCCCCGACCCCGAAGATGACCACTCTTCGGGCACTACTACACGTAGCAGCACAGCGTGACTACGAGCTGCACTCACTCGACTTCTCCACAGCTTTCCTCCAGGGCAGTCTACACAAGCAGGTCTACCTTCGCCGCCCCCAGGGCTTCTCCGGTAGCTTTCCCCCTGGTACAGAGTGGCTCCTCCGGCGCCCCGTGTACGACTTGCGCAAGGCACCCCGTAAGTGGCATGACACGCTGCATGCTACACTTGTTGACCTGCGCTTCTTCCCGTCGTTTGCAGACCCCTCGCTCTTCGTCCGTTCCGGCCAGAATCTGTTCTACATCCTTGTTTACGTAGACGATCTAGTCTTTGCTACTGCAGATAGAGACGCGCTGGCCTCCGTGAAGGCCGAGCTGCTGAGGAGACACAACTGCACTGACCTAGGAGAGCTGCGCCGCTACCTTGGCTTGCAGATCTCCAGGGACAGAGCAGCGCGCACCATCACTCTCTCACAGTCACACTTGGTGCGCCAGGTCCTTCAGAGGTTTGGTCTTCAGTTCTCCTCCGCACAACCCATCCCTTTGCCAGTAGACCACAGACTCTCTGCTCCAGTCCCGGAGGAGGCTGTAGGGCCCAGTGGTCCTTACGCAAAGATGGTGGGTTGCCTCATGTACCTGATAACTTGCACTCGTCCAGATCTCGCATACCCGCTCAGCATCCTGACCCGCTTTGTGGCCTCCGGCAGACAGCAACCACAGCACTGGTCTGCAGCTAAGAGGGTTCTGCGTTATCTAGCAAGTTCATTATGCATGGGGCTAGTGCTAGGAGGACGGAGACCAATGGTCCTTACCGGGGACACATACGCTTCTTGGGAAGACGACGCCGAGACTCTCATGTCCTCCCAGGGCTACTGTTTTAGCCTTGGTGCAGGTGCTGTTTCGTGGAGGTCCACCCGCTCGTCGTCTGTTTCCCAGTCTAGCTGTGAGGCTAAGATCTACGCCGGTGCCATGGCGGCACAGGAGCTCCGTTGGCTGACTTTCTTGCTCACCGACTTAGGTGAGCGGCCTAGCTCTGCCCCGGTCCTGTACGCTGACAACAGGGCCATGATCCTCATGTGTCAGGAGCCCAGACTCGAGGGCAGAGCGAAGCACATCCAGCTGCGGTACTTCCTCCTACGCAAGCTACAGCAGCTTTGCCAGGCCCGCGTAGTACACTTGGCCTCCGGTGCCAGCACAGCTGATATATTTACGAAGGCGCTTGCGCCTAAAGATCATCAGTGGCACTGTGTACAGCTTGGTCTCGTTCGTGTAGCACCTCATTTGCTACGACCTTGATTGTGTGTAACTCTTTACATATTATCCTGACTGGCCTTGTGGCTTTCTCCCAGTGGCTGGACTAGTAGTGCCGCCCTGGTCTTGTTCTTGCCTTGCTTGTACTCTTTTGACTGGTCTTTAGACCCCTGCCTCAGAGGTTGGACTAGTAGTGCCGCCCTGAGCTGCTTGTCTCTCACCAGGCTCTGCCCCTATCTAGTCTAGGTGGTGTAGCAAACATATGTGTGTATTTTTAGTAGACTACATAGGGTCATGCCATAGAGTACAATCGACTAGCTATATATCCCTGGATACCCCCATTCTACTCAACAATTCTAACTCGAAAACAGGGCACGTGCTAACAGGGTAATTACCCTGACTTGACTGAAAATCCAAGGTGATTTCTCGACCAACCCTGTGTTTCACAGTGCTTTTTCAAGCCCAGCCCTGACCAACTCAAGGAGATTTTCCAACTCACTTGTAGAGTACGGGAGGATTTTGGGAGGACCTGGACCTGGCAGCAGGGTAGCCTCCACGAGGTGTAGGAATATCTCAAGGTCCCCAGTCCTCCCTTTCCCTCCTTAACCCCACCCTTCCCTTTCCCAAACTTGGGGAAAGTTGTATAACGACAGGGATCGAAAAGCTTAAACTCGAATATTGCCAAGGTTCCGGTACATTTCTGTGTGTTGCTGTCGTTTTTATAAGATTCAGTGTGGTAAGCTTTCTAACGAATGTTTCTTGAGAAATGAACCGCGCCCTCAGGTGCCAAGGAGCTAGAACTTCACCTGTATTTCCGCATGCACTACCAGATCAATGGTGACTTAGCAGCAGGTTTTAAAACGAGCAGCCACGAACATGCCACTCAAAATCGCCAAGATGTTCATGCCACTCACAATCGTCCCAGACCCCCCCACCCACCCCCCTTCTCCCCGCCCCTCTTGGCCCAAATTTAGCTCCTTCACAGGTGCGTCTGTGGCGGCGGATTTCCCAACCCGAAGCTCTCCCACTCGCAACCCCAGTGTCTCGTCCCACAAAAACTGCCCACGCTCTATCAGGCCTTTTCGAACGCGGACCCTGAAGAATCAGGGTAATTCCTTGACGAAGTCGGATTTTACAGGGTGATTTTTCGAGGGGCTCGGTTCGTCCGAGGTGGGAGAAAACTTAGCGATAGCCCTGGTGGCGAGTCCAATGGCTAAACTTCATGGTCGGTCAAACCCCAGAACGCAATCATAGACGCCTGTGCATTGGGCGTTGCGACGCTGCCCTGGTCGTGGTAATCTACTGAGAGGCGTAGATAAGATCGACCAGCTTAGTGCCATTCGCGATTCGCCCTCCGGTTCATTAGGTTACCATGATGATGCGGGTTTGTCCTCCCCAGAATCAGCGCCCCATTTTTTCCCGCACGTTCGCATCCCAACAGCAGCCTCCCCGCCAGGTCGCATATTCTCCGCTAGTGCGTCGTAACAGTCGCATTACCGTCGCATGGCAGCCCTGCGACAACGCTCGCACCAGGCGGCGAGAGACCACTCAACTGCTCCAACTTCACCACTCGCGACAAAACCCCCTCGCGGGGAGGCTGTTCCCGCCTCTCCCGCAGCTCGCATCCGCGCAGGATCATCCCCCTTCTAATCGCAGGAGCTCCCCGCCAATTGCGGCGGTATCCGGGGCAGCATCATCGTCAGCGGCGTCGGCATTCCGCACCGCCCTGCGCCTCGGCTTGCTCCTTCTGGGCGGCACAGCGGCCTTCGCGGCGGCCGTCACCACTGTCGCATCTGCCGTCTTTGTCGCGCTGGCATGCGATCGCGGGATGGATGGACGGCCAGGATCCGCTCCTCGAGACTGGGGGGCGCTGTTTGAAGGGGGAGGGGGCGGGGTTGCGGGAAGCGGGGGAACTGGGGGAGGAGGGGGAGGGGGAGGCGGAGGGGGAGGGGGAGGAGAAGGGGGAAGCGGAGGGATGGGGGGGAATGGAGGGGCGGGGAGTGAAGGAGGTGGTGGAAGCAGTAGCGGCAGTGACGGTTGGGTAACGGGAAGGGGTAATCATGCCCCTGACAGTAATGAGACGGAAGATGATCGTGCATCATCTTCCCAGGCTCAAAATGATGACTCGGAAGCCGCACCCCCGGTCTACATCATCATTCCTGCTCTTAATGAGGCAGCAGCGCTGCCAATCACGCTCCGCCACCTGTCAAGACTCTCCCCGCCGCCAGCGGGGATCATCGTTGCCGACGGCGGCAGCACAGATGGCACGCCGCGATTGGCCGAATCCATGGGCGTTCTGGTGATTCCCAGTGAGAGGGGCAGGTCTGTGCAGATGAACTCAGGTGCATGGAAGGCAGTGCAGCTGGTTCAGCAGGTGCAGCAGGTGCCAATGCAAGGAGCGGAAGCAGGGGAACATGGCAGCAGAGATCATCCACAGGGCCTCGTGGAGGAGATTATTGAGAAAAAGCAGAATCAACTGACTGCACGCGGTGCTGTCAGTGGCAGTGGTGGAAGCAGCACAATTGGCAGCAGCTCCAGCGGCGGCGGCAGCAGCAGCAGCAGCAGCACGAGCGGCATCCTCTGTTTTGTTCACGCGGACACGCTCGTGCCTCTGGATCTCGTCCCGCTGGTCAGGAGAACACTGCGCGACCCGTCGGTGTGCTGCGGGGGGTTTGTGCCCGTGGTGGCTGTGCCGGGGCGGGTCTTCTGGGGCATGTGCATCCGCAACGTGGCCAAGGCTTGGTACGTCCCGCTGCTTGCGCCCCCGAGGTATGCTGCACTGCTTGCTGCCGCTAAGCCATCAGTTGCAGTCGCCGTCCACAGCAGCAGCAGCAGCAGCAGCAGCAGCAGCAGCGGTGGCGGTAATAGGGAGGTCAGCAGTGCAACTTCTGTGTGTTTCGGTGGTGTTGTGTCATTCCTTCGTGGAATGCGCATGCTCTATGGAGACCAAGCCATGTTCTGCAGAGCTCAGGACTTCGAAGATATTGGAGGGTTTGATGAGCGGCTTAGAATTTTGGAAGATGCTGACCTGTCGGAAAGGCTTCATGTGAGTGGCTGGCAACAGACCACAGCAGTCACTGGGGATGGTGTCAAAAGTGGTGGAGGATCGGGGGATGCTCCAGTGCTGAAAACGAAGCATGGTGGTCGAATGGTTATGCTTCCGCGGGTGGTGGTTACTAGTGGGAGGAGATTTGAGCATCTAGGTGCCGTACAAGCCACCTTGGCTAACATCATCATAGCCACTGCGTACATATTTAGAGCCTCACCCGAAGTGTTGTACAAACTCTATAAAAGGTTGTACTCTGATGTGAGGTAGCTGTAAGTATGCTGTACAGTTTATTTCGACTTATGGTAGGGTCATTTCGAATCCACCTCAGCGCTGGATATTCCGCCCCCCAGCCTGTCGATCCAGCCAATCACATTGTGTTTTGCAGCACTCGGCCCACAGCTCAGGGTCCAGGCAGGCCAGGCAGTTCCTCGTGCCAATCATGATCGCAACTCTGATTGGACGACGAGTGTGAACGCGGGCGCGGGAATGCAAGCACAGGAAGCTCGGGGGGGATTTCCCATGGGCACACCTGGGAAGTTCGCCTGCCCGCCGCCCAGCAATCTTCTTCGTTCACCACTCCACCTCACTTCATCCTTCTATATTCTGTCTCATCTCTCTTCACCCCATATCACCCTGGCTCAAACGCAAAGTGCTTACTTTTCAAGGCACAGCTGCGGGCATTCTTTAGGGAATGCGCAACTCTCTGCATACTCTACCTCCCGCCATTTCTTGCCAAAGAAAAAAGGCCTCCAGTAGTGCGTGCTGCTGCATTCGCTTCTTCGCGATTCAAGCCTTGCTTCCTCTCTTGCTATCTTCCGTCCGTTCACAGACGAGCCCCTTGCTTCCTCTCACTCTTTCGCGCTAGAAAAGGGTTCCGTTTCGTGGATTGGAGCCCTGGCTGCTTCAGAGGTCGCTGTTGACGCTGCTGCTGCGCCTTCCTCTTCCTCCGCCTCTTCCTCGTCCTCGATGTTGCCGGGAGGTGCGGGGAAAATGAGCTCGTTTGAGGTCGAGGACAGCCCGTACAACAACGACAAGCGGCGCCGCTCTAACAGCCTCTTCGTGGTGCGTGGCAATGCCCCTTCCTCCCTTCCCCCTGCTCATTCCTCCAAATAACATATTGACTTTTGAGTCGACTCAAAAGTCACCCCAATAACACATATTCACGTTCGAGATCGAGGACTCCCCGTACAATTACGACAAGCGACGGCGATCGAACAACCTCTTCGTGGTGCGTGCCCTTTCTCCTGCTCCACTGCTCTTTCTAAAGGCGAGCTCGTTTGAGATCGATGGCAGCCTGTACTACAACGACAAGCGGCGGCGATCCAGCAACCTCCTCGTCGTGGTTTCTTTCCCTTTATTCCGCGTCCGCTCTCTCGCTCCCTCAGATCTTTGAGTCGATTCAAAAATCACCGGCCGCGATCCAAACAACCTTCTCCTCGTGGTCCTTGCCCTTTATTCCGCGTCCGCTCTTCTTCCTTCAGATATTTCCACCACGATCAGCGGCTTTTCGTCCTCCAGATCGCGGGTTTTTGAGGCTGGTTTCTATCCGACACGTCACAGAGAAGAACAAAGGGAAACAAACGGGGGTTGAACGCGGTGACTTTTGAGTCGACTCAAAAGTCAAACGGGGGTTGACCGCATGAACGAAACACTGCGACTCGTTTTCGTGACGACAGTCAAGGGACTTGAAGGATTCAATGAGAGCTGCGAGAGAAAAGGCTTGAAAGTATGAACTAATGTTTTTTTGTCAGGGAGTCGAAGGGCTTGAGAACGATAAGGAAGCCAACTCCGAAAGGAACCAACAGGTTTGCCGCTCTTTAAGCCCTAGGCAGCTGCTCTTATGAGTCGACTCAAAAGACGTCCTGGGTCGACTCAATAGTCACCAGGTTTTCCGCTCTTCAAACCCTAGGCAGATGCGCGTATCATCTCCAGAACGCCCTTACCCAATCCAGCGTTTCAGTCGCTTCCCATTCAGTCGCTTATCATCTCTTCTCATAACTCTGTCTTCCCGTGCCTGCAGCGTCAAGTCATGCACATGCAGCAGAGGTGACTTTTGAGTCGACTCAAAAGTCACCTCAAGACTCACAAGTCACCTCAAGACTCAAAAGTCACCTCAAGACTCAAAAGTCACCTCGACTCACAAGTCACCTCAAGACTCAAAAGTCACCTCAAGACTCAAAAGTCACCTCAAGACTCACAAGTCACCTCAAGACTCAAAAGTCACCTCAAGACTCAAAAGTCACCTCAAGACTCACAAGTCACCTCAAGACTCAAAAGTCACCTCAAGACTCAAAAGTCACCTCAAGACTCACAAGTCACCTCAAGACTCGCAAGTCACCTCAAGACTCACAAGTCATGCACATGAAGCAGTCGCTTAACACGCATCTCCCTCCCGACTTTGCAGGGTGTTTTTGTGAACCCTTAAATACACCCTGCGCATATCTTTTGAGTCGACTCAAAAGTCATCTTGTTTTTGTGAATCCTTAAAATACACTCTGCGCATATCTCTCTCTCCCTTGCGCTTTCTTCCCGTGCTTCCAGCGTCAAGTCGTGCACATGCAGCAGTCGCCTAAAGCGCATCTCGGTGTGTTTTGAGTCTTCTCAAAACACTCCCCCCCAACCCCTTACATTAACCCCACTCACCCCCCGCCATATTTGATTTTTGAGTCGACTCATAAATAACCCCGCTCACCCCCCTCCATATTCTTACGTTCCCCATCACCTGCAGCGAGTGGGCGTGTACCTGAAGCTGTCGCCAGCCCTTTAATGAAGGGGTGTGCTTTAATCCCTTCAATGTGCTTGCGTTTGTCTCAAGCAGTAATACCCCACTCCCCCCCCCCGGCGCACATCCACTCCCCCACTCTTGGCTCCCTTCCCTCCCTACAGCGCGCGGGCGTGTACATGCAGCAGTCGCCGGCGCTTCACCGTACGGGTGTGCACTCCACGTTGATCATCTCACGTACCACCCCCTCCTTCCCTTCCGTTCCTTTCCCTTCCTTCCCATCACCTGCAGCACGCGGGTGTGTACCTGCAGCAGTCGCCAGCCCTTTTGTGTGGAGGTGTGCTTTCCACTTTATCTCACGCACCAACCCCTCCTTGCCTCCCTTTCCCTTCCCTCCCTTTCCCTACAGCGCACTGGCGTGTAGCTGCACCAGTCGCCAGCGCTTCAGTGCAGGGGCGTGCTTTTTTGAGTCGACTCAAAAAGGTGATTTTTGAGTCGACTAAAAAATCACAGTCGCCAGCGCTTCAGTGCGGGGGCGTGCTTTCTGCGCTTGTCTCATGCCATCACAACGCCCTTCCCCCCTGCCTCCCCACACCTTCCCTTCCCTCCCCTTCCCATCGCCTGCAGCGGGCGGGCGTGTACCTGCAGCAGTCGCCAGCGCTGCAGTTCGCCGCCTTCCTCTCAACGCTCATCTTCCTCTGGGCCGTCACTTTCGCGCTCTCCCCCAACCGCTCCCCCCTGCCCTAGCTGCCCTAGTTGCCCCAGCTGCCTGCCGCAAACAGTTCAGTCTCCGAAGCTGAATGCAGATATAGGGTTCAATGGAGAATAAAAATGCTGATGTCGGAGAGCCTTGTGAACAATTTGTCAGGGGAGGAGCAGGGGTGGGGGTGGGGAGGGCGGGGGGTTTGATAGACCATTTACTGTACCAGTAAATGATGTTGGAGGATGGTTGCTTTGAGATTAGTTTATCGTAAATGATCCCCTTGTGTTGTTACTGAGAATGGTTTTACGGTAGCAATACCGGTAGTAATTCCTACACCCTTTGTCGTGTTTTGAACGTTTTGAGTAGGCCCTCAGATTTCAGGATTTTTTTCCCCTGATTTTGCTAATATTCAGGGTGTTCTGCTGTACCGACCCTGGAAAATCAGCAGTGGAATCGGAAAAAACGGGTCTATCTACTAGAAAAACAGTACCGAACCTGATTTTCAGTGTGCCAACACCCAAAACAGACACGAGCAAAAAACGAACCAAAACACCGAGCCTGGTGCAAGCCTGGGGGCCTCGTAATAGTCTCCCTAGGCTACAAACGTTACAACGTACAATATACAGCGCATATCAATGCTTGTTAGTTCTACATCTTCTAGGAACACTCTAATCTACAATGTACCTCATTGAAATATTTCAAAAACCAATTGTTCTCTGGGGGGTAAACCAGCAGCACCATTCTCTGCAGCAAAATTCCCTCGCTCCCCTATTCTCTCCCACACCCTCCCAGCATCCTCCCAAATGCCCTTTTTCCTCTCCCCAACCCCCTCTGTCAAGTCATCCTGCCCATTCCCCCCCTTCTCGCCAGATTTGTCCACCCTTCCTGCGATTCCCTGCTTTCTGTGCTCTACTCTTTGCCGTTCCTCACTATCCGGCCTCACATCCTCCCTCTGCTCTCCATGACTCTCCTCCCGAGCCTCTTGCTGACCCTCCTCCTTAACACTTTCATGAGACTGAATCTCCTTCCGAACCTCCCCTGGCTCTTCCCCAGCCTCCCTCCAAGCCTCGTTCCATGCCGTGGCAAACGTACAGTCAGCAGCATTGATTGATGACGTGGTATAATCCTCCACGTCACCATCCAGATAGCCCCTCCCTGTGTCCCCATCAGCTTGGATCGGCGCTCTCAGCAGCCTAGTCAGCAGCCCGTACTCCTCTGCCCGTTTTGCCCGGGTAATTTCCCCTCGGAAAGTCTGTCCTAGTACACCGTGCACTGCTTCTGTGTTCTGCTTTTTCCGGTGTTGGAAGGGGAAGGCAAGAGGAGAGAGGGGTTACATGGGAAGCCATGGGGGGCACAGGGGAAAACCAAGGGGAAAATATGGGGGTTAGGGGAGAAACCAATAGGGATTAAAGAGTGGACGCAAAGCATGGGTGGGGCTTCTTTGGTGTGATGAATGATAAGGCATACAGTAACATGTCTCCATTTATCCTCACGTTTAGGTACTTCAAATAAACGTTGAAGTGGGTGTGAGCCTCGTCCGCCGTCTGCAGCAGTGGGTGTGCCGCACGCGAGACACTTGAACCTTAAGACACATCTGCCCTCACATACACATACTGCACCCATCATCCCATCTCACATTTAGGTACTTGATATACACGTAGAAGTGAGTGTGAGCCTCGTCCACAGTCTGCAGCAGCGGATGTGCCGCATGCACTGAGAGCTCCACGGCCACTAGACCTGTTACACACCTTGAATTACAGTACGCCGTATGACCGTGTTACTCACGTTTAGGTACTTGACATAAACGTTGAAGTGAGTGTGAGCCTCGTCCGCCGTCTGCAGCAGCGGGTGTGCCGCATGCACCGACAGCTGCAGGAACAATAGGTCCTGCACCACCACTCGGTATGTGTCTTTGTCCCTGCCGTCCCCTAGAGCCTCTGCTGCTACTAGCACCATTTGAAAGCCGCCTTCCAGGTGCACGGCTTGGGCTACCTGGACAGGGGAAGGAGAGGGAGGAGGGGAGGTGAGGGGAAAACGGAGGCCCCAAGTTTCAGCGCCTCTGCTGGCCCTAGGAGCACTACACCCTGCACCTCCATTCGGTATGTGTCTTTGTCCCGGTCTCCAAAAAACCTCTCGCCCCCCTCGCCTGCTCTTTGCCGTCTCCATACCTAAGCTGGTGTCACTAGTTACCTGAGTTGGTGGGATGAGAGGGCGGCCGTCCACCTCCATCCTCTCGATAAACCCGCTCTCCCCTCTCGCCTGCTCCCTGCCGTCCCGCGCTCTCAGGAACACCGAGTGCTGCTGGCCAGTGGAATCACGCCACGTCAGATAAAGCTCTCTGGTAGGCGAGGGGAGAAAAGAACAACAGAAGTAAGTCTGCAAACAGAACCCCTTGATGCCCATGTTGACGTGCAAGTGGCGGTCAGTCAGCAAACAGAACGACCGGTCCGAATTCCCGTGAAAGTTAAACCTCTACAAGCTCCTCTACAAGCCCCTCCTCCTCCTCCTTCTCTCCTCCCTCCCACTACCATCCTCTTGTCCTCGTTCATACCCCTTGATGCCCATGTTGACATGCCAGTGGCGGTCAGTCAGCAAACAGAACGACCGGCCCAAATCCCCATGACAGTCAACCTCGTCCCCTCGCGTGCTCCCCTCGTGCCCCTCTAGTACACATGGCCCACGCCAAGACCACAGTTACCTTTTTGAGGCGCCTCAAAAATCACGCCAATTTTTTAGGCGCCTCAAAAATCACGCCAAGACCACAGTGACCATACCTGAGCCTGAACCATAAGCAGGATGCTCTTTTCGCACCTGATCCACGATCGTATGGGCAATCTTGATCTTCTCTTCCCTCCCCCTCCTCCTCTCCTCCCCCCCACCGCCATTCTCGCGTCTTCATACCCCTTGATGCCCATGTTGATGTGCAAGTCACGGTCAGTCAGCAAACAGAACGACCGGTCCAAATCCCCATGGAAATCGAACCTCGTCCCCTCGGCTCCCACGAAGTGCGGGTCGTTTTTCACCTCCGCTAAAGGGTTGCATTTGCCCCCGATATAGGACGGTGCGGTGGAGGTTATAGTGTTGTCTACAGTGAATTTTGACAGGTCGGTTAGTAATCTACAGACGCCGTTTCCAGAAACGCTGATGGTCGGGGGAAGGGGGGTGGAACAAAAATAACAGTAGACAAGAGAGAGTGAGAGAGAGAAAAAGAAAAGAAAAGAAAAGAAAGAAAGAAAGAAAGAAAGAAAAACAAAAAAACCAAGGAATGTTAGTGTTTACGGTGGTGTTTTTTAGCACAAGTATTGACAGGTGACGGTTTGTGTCTAGCAATGAAGACATCGGAAATGAGAAGATGGAAATTGGAGCATTCACCCCTCAAGGGGAGAAGAGCAGCTAGGGGGAGCAGAGCGCATTCCCAGCGGGGGTTTGTAGTACTGGAAGTTAGTCAATTGACAGCTTGAGTCTAGAGATCAAGGTTGGAGGAGGAGGAGATAGACGTCGACTCGAAATTCATGAGTGTAGAAGCCAAGACTGAAGGCGACGGAGATTGGAGCATTGAGTCGAGGGAGCAGAGGGAGCACTCACAGTGGTGGCTGGAAGTGGAAGTATATGCACTTGTCGGCTTGGGCGCACAATTGGCAGCATGAGTTTTCGTTTATGGTCTGACAGAAAGGGAGGGGAGGGGGGGGGGAGGGGGGGAGGAAGAAGGGCGGGGGGGAGAGAGAAGGGGGAGCAAGGGTGGGTAAGGGGATGGTCATGGATCGGATGATATGATATGATACGATATGATACGATACGATACGATACGATACGATACGATACGATACGATACGATATGATACGATATGAGATGATATGATATGTTATGATATGATACGATACGATATGATACGATACAGGCACGGGGACGGCAACAGGCGGGAAGAGATGGGAGGGTCGGAAGAGATGGGAGGGCGAAGGGCGAGAAGAGATGGGAGGGCGGGAAGAGATGGGAGGGCGGGAAGTGGGGTGAGAGAGTCGAGGAGAGGGAGACATACGTTGGTCCTTAGTAGCACGGCGCTGCTGTCTGAAATCTGCAAGGGGTCGCGGGGCGAGGAGAGAAAGAGAAGGCATAGGCGGATGGGAGGGGGGAAAGGCGGGGGATGAGAGCGGGAAGGAGGGGAGAGACGCGCGCACAACGGTCCTAGTAGGACGGCGGTGCTGTCTGTGAGGCGCGGAGGGACGCGACGGGGAGCGAAGGGAGGGCGGGGAGGGAGGGGGAAAAAAGGGGGTGGTGGGGGAACAAGAGGGGGGGGGGGGGGGGAAGAGGGGGGGGGAGGAAAAGGCAACAACGGGAGGGAAGTGGAAGGGATTTACCCGCAGTAGTCTGGAAGGAGAAGGAGGCGAGCGAGGTAGCAACTAATTTGCCCTACCAGGTGTCTTGCATCACAGGCAGAGCTAGAAAACTCCGCGCTACCACCACACTCCACCGCTCCTTACCGCATTGGCACTCACCTTGTTGTTCATGTTGCCACTCGCGCTCATAAATTACGGAAGCGGCAACTGAACGACAGCGGCCAACGCCTCTCAACCGCATTTCACCAGATTAAACCGACTCCACTCTCCCGCACCGTGCAACACCCACCTTGTACCGCTCGTAGTTCATGTTGCCATTAGCGCTCATAATCGTCAAAGCGGTACCGGACGACAACAGCCACCGCCTCTCAACCAAATTTCACCGCATTAAACCGTACTGCACCGGGCACCACCCACCTTGTACCGCTCGTAGTTCAAGTTCCCATTGACGCTCATAATCGTCGAAGCGGTACCCGACGCCAGCAGCCACCGCCCCCGCGTGTAGCTGACGCAGCGTGACGTCAGACAGCCGCCCTTCGGCGTCAGCACGTCGAGAGTCGCCGCGAGTGCCACGTGGCAGGGGGAGTCGCTAAGCAGGGCTATCGATGTTAGTAAGAGGAGGGGGAAGAGGGCAGCTACTACGTCACGAAAGGAAGTGAAAGGAGGGCGCAGTCGGTGGGGAAGGGACAGGGTGCGCGGAACGGGAATGCCGCGCGGAAGGGGAGTGACGCGCGGAAGGAACGCGGGAGGTATGCCGTGAGGCCATGCTTGCCCCATGGAAGCGACTTACAACGCTTGGAGCAATCTGGTGACTGTATCGAGCTCGGGTTACGATCTGAGGTGACTGTATCGAGGTGTGTGACGACTGAAGGGAGCAGATCGAGGCGGCAGTTGCAATTAAATTCGTCACAAGCCGAATCCGCCGGCGACCGCAAGGCAACTAGCGATTTTTCTCAACGGTCAAATCAGTCACTAACGGTACCCTATTTGACCCTATGCGTGCCTCCTGGAGATTAATAGGACCCCCTCGGCGATCTTCAAACGCTAATCAAGTCAGCAGTGCCGTGGCTTCTAGTAGCAGTTATGGATTCGAAAATCTCATTAAATAAATGAATAGAGAAAAGAAGTCCATTGAAAAGATGAGGCCAATCAAGACTGGATGTCCTCCTAGTAGAAGGAGCTTCAAAACTCAACGACGTTCTGCTCGTTAAACGGTGGGGTGCGCCGACCTCGAGGCTCAAAGTAGCGTTGTTTTCAGCTGGACAACAACCGGAGGTGCTACTAACGCGTATATCACAGGGGGTAAGAGCCGCCTCACGCGCCGGCGATGACTAAGTTAGTACTAGTGTATAGCGGGCAGTTCGTTGCTAGTGTCTGGGGTGCCGTCGTCCCTGAAAGCTCCATCGAGGCGTCCTTAGAACAGAGCACCTAGATCCTCCTAGGAAGCTAGTCAAACGACCTCTAACTCTACTGGTCTCACACTCCTGAACGGCACGTGTGCGCAGCGCGATTACCATCATATCGTATCCTACACGAGTTTGAAAACGCCTCTGTCGAGAAGACGGAAGGGAAGGACCGACAGAACAGAACGGAAAGGAATCTGCGGTTGACAGATTGCTTGCTGCCGTTTCCTGAACGCAAAGCAGAGCAAACCTCTAGGGCTCGGCGGCGACCAGCAGGTCGGCTGATCAGCACCGAGGTTGTTCGCGTGACCACTTCCGTTCGCCCCTGCTCCGATTTCGCTGGGCAACAATTTAGCTGTTCCCTGCGTGTAGCGAAATGTTTGGACGACGAGCGTCGAGGGTTTCGATTCTCGAAGGATGCTTTGAGGCGCCAAAGCGGTTTGGTGGTGTGGTCTCAGGGGATTAGACGGGCCGTCAAGGAAACCCGACGGGCCGACAGCTGCATGCGGGCAGAAATCAATACAGTAAACCCCTAGAGGGGCCCGCATGCGACTCGGGGAGGCATCAGCCCGTAGAGTCCCACTGTGGTTCTTTATGAACGATCTCCTTGTTTTCCACAAAAAAATCTGGTTAAAAGAAGACCACAGGCGATTTTCACTCCAGCATCTGCACCGTCCAAGTTGGCGGGAACGAAACCGCTGGCGGACGATGGCCCGAATTGGGCAACATTACAGCCACTGCACAGCTGTCACTTGCACGAGCCTTTCACAGTCAAGATAGGTGATATGGCGGAAGCCGATTGGGCAACTCATTTAACGGAATTCCGTCGGAAACGGTCAGGGTGTACTGTAATCGGAACCTGCAAGTGGGAGGGCAGGGAGTCCAGGTATATTGTCGTGTTGTTGGAGGTGCTTGACAAAAAGCATAGGTGGGCGAAAATGAATTGGCTAGTTCGCCCGTAACGTTTACGGTGATAAATGTGTGATGACTCTTGTATTTCATATTTCCTGCTCATTTGACTATTATCAACCCTCACCCCCAACATAAGGTGATTCATGATTGCATGCACATCTATCCATCGTCAGGTCCCAAGTACTCTGCCTATTATTGGAGTTGTAATGAAGCGCAAAGAGCGTGTGTCGAATGATTGATTAACGAGGAAATAGTACAACTGAGGCAACATCAACACAGCATGGAGCATGCATATAGCTAGCCTAGGAGCACACGGTCGTGGCTCGACAAAGCTGCGACGTGTGGTTCGTAAAATGGCAAGGAGCGCCCAGATCTAGGCATGCAACAGCAAGGCGGGCATCAATGTGTGTGGCTCGTCAGGAGACCACATTTGGGAGCGCAATTTGAATTTTGTGGCAGAGCTGCGCGGCAACCCCGTTATAGCAGTGAAAACCTTACTGACTAAAACTCGTGATAAGGAAATACCGTTTCCTTGCACACTCTCCCCTCCAAGGTATGGTCTTAGCGAAGACCGCCGTCGTCGTGCACATTGCGATACTAGAGGTAGACCCGTAACACTCGGTAATTCTCGATCTATGCTAAGGGCACCCAACTGTTTTCCAAGGCCGTCCGGTCCTTCCAAGATATCAGAAAATCGATCAGGCGAGCCCCTCAAGGATCCCTGATCTAATGGCTGAGAACCTTCGCAGGTTCGACAGTAGGCTCGGCAAGCGGTCGGATGTTTGGGTTCGTTCGGTGACGTGGTAGCTTACTGTTGCTGGCGATGTATGGTCGAAGTAATCGCACGTGGGATGATGGACCGACTAGGAGCAGCAACTTGTTAAATTATAAATCATATATATTATTATAAGGTTGATAGTTGTGCTACTTACTGAATCCTACTAAAGAGGGGACTACCCCCCTTCCTATATCTCCTTCCCTTCAAGTCCAACTTCCTTCTCTCTCGACATTTTCTCTCCTTCCTAAACCTCTCGCCATTCCATGGCTTCTCTAGCTACCAAGTTCCTTTAACATGGTAACAGAGTAGGTTCAGCCTGCTGGACCTGCTTCTCTCGCTTCCGCCGCGCACTCCTCATCTCTCTCTTTCGCCCTGCCATGTCGGTCGTGTCATGCTTCTGTGGCGGTGTCGTCGTGCCGCTGGACGTGTCGTTAAATCGCGGCGGTCTCGACACTGCTGCCGTGGCACCCTCGTCGCGCTTTCGTGGTGTCGACGTCCAGCCGTGGCGGCGTCGTCGTGCTGTCGCGGCGGTGTCGACGCATCAGCGTATGATCGGCAGCGGCAGCGCCGGGCCAGCCATGGCGCTGCGCTGACGATCCGCCCCCCACCCCTTCCCCCTTCCCCTCTTCTGCCTTTCCCTTCCTCTCTGCCGCAACTGCTGGCGACCTCGTGCCGTCCTCCCCCTTGTCGTCTCAGGTTGAGCCACGCCGCCGTTGCCTTGGGTGCCGCAGCCGCCGTCGCCGCACGCCTCGACGCTGCCACCGCCGCCGCACGTTCTGCACACCCTGCCGCCGCCGGCCGCCGCCGCAGTCGCCGACGCCACCACCGCCGCTGCGACCCGTCGTCGACGTCGCCACCTCGATTGCCGAGGGGTTGACCGGCTGGTCGACGCCGCTGCTGCTGTAGGGGATGGGGGTGCAAGGATGTGGGGGTGCTGGGGGTGGGATGGGCTTGCCACTACCAAGTCTAAGGGGTGTGTTAAATGATATATTATACATATATAATTGTAGGCTTGGTAGTTGTGCTACTTACTGAATCCTACTGTAGAGGCGACTACCCCCCTTCTTGTATCTCCTTCTCTTCTAGTCCAACTTCCTTCTCTCTCGACATTTTCTCTCCTTCCTAAACCTCTCGCCATTCCATGGCTTCCCTAGCTACATAGTTCGTTTAACACAACTGCTACTGATTGAGTTCGCGTATAATAATGCCCCGTCAGCCACTACATGACAATCACCATTTTACCTGAACTACGGGCAGAACCCTACAGTACCGATCATGCCCAAACCTCAAAACCAGTATCACGAGCCCAACAGTTTGCCGAAACTTACAGAATGCCTGGGAGCGAGCAGCCGAAGCCATTCAGCACGCGAATGTAATTTCTAAGCACAACGCCGATCTACACCGACGAGCAGTAACGTACCAGGCGGGAGACTTAGTACTGCTCGACACCTAGAACCTTCGATTGCTTATCGTCCAAAAACTCTACCCCCGCTACTATGGACCATTTACCATCAGCCACATGATATCTTCCGTTACAGCCCACCTACTTAGGGTTGACAGAACATTATTATACACGAACTCAATCAGTGGCAGTTGCTGCTCCTAGTCGGCCACTGTCGAGAATAACCCTGATCCTGCGAAGGTTGCAGAAGTCTGCGGAAGCGGCATATCAAGGAAGTCTGCGGACACGAGCCCTGCAGAAAGGCCCATTGACGAAGAACATATTTGTCGACAAGGCGAGGCTCTGCGGTTAGTGGCAGAGGAGCAGTTTCGTTGGCGGCAGAAAAACGGTTCTGTCAAAGTGGCAGAACATGAATGCTTTTTTTGCATATGGCTTCTACCTCGACATATGCTTTTGTAGAAGCGATCTCGGCAGAATAGAGAGTGTACAAGACCCTCTGCCGAATTGGCACCAGGGGCCATTCGCAGAAGGGTTGTCCTCTGCCGAAGTATCGCGCAGAAGACATCTCTGTAGGCGATCCTTTCGGCAGAGTGGACTCTCGGAAATGCGTTCTAACAGGACCTCGGGCAAAGCGGCACAAGGACCTGTATGCGCAGAATTGCGTTCTGTTGAAGTGCGGCAGAAAGGCAATTCGGCTATCTCTTCTGTTGTCGACCCCCTCGGCAGAGACGAAATTCGGCAGAAGCGCGGCAGAGAGTCATCTCGGACTTCGCTTCGGCGAACGACCACTTCGACGGAAATCGGGGACTTAGTTTTCTATTGAAGGTGGCGTTCCGAAATCGCGAGAAATTCGCTATTTCGTCAGTTGACCACTGAACCGATCTGGACCGAAAACGGCAAAATCTACCTGCGACATTGAAAAATTGAACATGTGGCGCACATTTCGTAACTGCGGATCTAAGGAATTAGTCATTCCTTACTGAGGCTTGCTACAGGGCGTACGACTCGAACAGTCCCGAACCAGCGATAGGGTTCCAGACCTTTCAGTACGAGCCTCCTGGGCCTTTCCGGACCTCGCTTCGACACATCAAAGCCCTTCCACACTTTTCCCGAACCTTCCGATCCTACGTCCAGGATCACCATAGGTTTCCTATATATCTTGTTGTCTTTCATTTTATTGTCATTCACTCATTCACAGTTTCGCCATTGCTCTCCGCGCTACTCGGCAGTTCCATTCATCACAGCGGAAATGTGCGTAACATCTGACAGTTTCACACATGAAACTGTTAAAACTACTACTCTGGAGTGGGTAAAAAATACCAACTAAGCATGTGCTGTAATTTTGGGAAAGTATACCGACGCTCAGTATTAGGGGCCTCGATAACATGTACGGTCAGTAACACGATATAAACAATCAGAATTAGCGAGTTTGTAATATGTTTAATCAGTCAGGTTCCATCGTTAGTCAGAAATTGCGGGAAAAGTTGCACGAATGGTCAGTAGAAGTAACCCCCGGCCGTCGAGGAACGTTTTCCCGCTCGCGCCAGCCCTATTTCGTCATCATTGCGGCTGGCGCGATATTTTTCCCGAGCTCCAGGCGCAGTTCGAGCGAAAAAAACGCGAAATGCCCAAATTAAAATTCATTTGAAATTTGTCAGTCGAGAATGTTTCGAAGCACATATTTTCGTCACAGAGGGTAGCGCATCCCGTGATGATTAAAAATGGCGACTTTGTCTCTACCGCATTTACAGCCCCAAAGAAAAGTCAACCCATAAACATGTTGTCATTCCCGAGTCGCCCGAAAACAATAACATATATAGATAGCTACGGAGGTTTATTTTTGCGAAATGAATATGTTTAAAAGCGCGTCAAGGTACTCTCAGAACCGCATTTAATTCTGTATTAATTTCAATACAATAAATCTATTAGAAGTCTGGCGGTTGTCTTTTGATTTTTCCAACAAATGTATTTACCAGAAAATTTCTGCCGAATCACGACTCTACAAGACTTGTCATGCTCGAAACAAATTAGCGCACACGCAATACCGTTTAATATTCTAATTCCATTGGCTTAGCACCGATCCCGAATAGATTTGC